GTGGGCGCAGCCGAGGAGCGCGGACCCCCTGCCCCGGCCCGCCAGATCCGCGCCGTCCCGTCACCCTTGGACCGGTTTCTACTGGCCTCACCGGCCTTCGCAGCTGTCCCCCTCCTCCCCCGGGAGGCAACCTGCGCGCCAGGGCATCTGGAGGGAGGTCACTGCCACTACCTTGATTTTTATTTTAAAAGGGGCTCGGTTCTGCTTAAGAGGGTGAGCTCCCCAGCGCTATTCAAGTAGGTTTTGGGTGGCCTTTCAGCAGGAAACTTATAATCACACAGAATTTAGCTTCTAATCGGCCAGACTTATTTAAACGGCGCAGAGTAAAACCTTCCATTTTTAACATCCACTCTGGTGTTTGCTGGAAATTTGCCACCGAATTTCGGCTCGAGCTGAAGGTTACCAGGATTTATCATTGTTTCCCCAGGATGTTTAACCCTCATGGGCACCTCTTCTTTCATTTAAGATACTTAAAAAAAAAAAAATCTTGTAAGCGCTCTGGCCATTTTGTTTAAGAAATTTGTTTTATCTCGTCCGGTTTTGAAATCCAGGAATATTTCTGAAATCGGGAGGAGGGGGTGTTGGAGACAAAAAGCAGCTGTGTACCAGGAAATAATAAGTATCATGCAAAAATATCACAGCTAATAGGATGTCCTTTACGAGTGGAAATATCTATGTTTAATTGCTTTAAAAATGTGGGTGGAAAAACACAGTTGTACATTGTGATAACAAACCTGTACAGATCATTTCTGAACAATACAAAACAAGTGCTGAAATTTTTTTCTTTAGGATTGAAATAATTGTTCCAAAATTATGACACCACCTACCCAAATATCGTGTTGCCCCCATCTGCAGATCCTTAAAGAGGAATAGTTACCAACTGAATGCATTTAGATTCGTCCTTAATAAAAAGAAAATTGCATAGCTTTTTATACTGTTGTATATCCTCAAATGCATCTTCCAGTATCACTGTCAGCTTAGTGTTATTCTCGATATTAAATGTTCAGTTTTTCAGAGATACATAATATAGAATTCCTAATAATTATAAACACATTATTTTATTCATCTGATTTTAATAACATGCATTTTTATAATTACTGTACAACTGAAATAGACATTGAGTTATGCTGTGTGCCTGTCTTTATTCAACAGTCTATTCTTAGACACCTTGTTCAAACAAATTAAGTGAATTTAAAGAAAATAAAACATGAAAAAAAAATCCTTCCAGTAGAAACAGAATCACAGTGCTTTACAGACAAAAGGAAAGGAAAAGAAGTTCTCATACAAAAAGAGATTTATTATTACATAGAAAATTCTCACAATAGTTGAAACACACTCCAGAAACTAGTAAACACCTTAGATAGAGTTGTGCCAATTACTCAGCCCACAAGCATCTGCTTTGTCTTAATTAGACGGGGGAGGTGAATGACCACTGTTTATTTTCATTTTCCTCATTAATTATGAAAAACTGCATTTAATTCATCTTGCATGGTGAGAGATTGGCTGCGCAGATGTAAGTCGTAAGGGAAGTGGCTGTCGGTGGGCAACCTGAACATGGCACCCTGCCCAAGGGGACCCCTGGGTGGCACTGCACAGTAATGCATGCCGTAATTGTAATTTTTGCCATAGTCCAAGGTTTCTTCTTGCTTCAGGGAAAATATCCCATTATAGTTAATTGGGGGAGGACTTAAGGGACCTTCAAACTGAGGGCTGGCACACTCAGGGGAGGTGCTCTCATAGAAGGATTCATATGCACTGCAATAATTGTAGGGTTTCATGGACTTGGAATTATCAAGAGTTCCATGCCCTGGGGGAGTGGTGAGCTCAGGGCTGTGGTAGGGTGGGTAGAAGGTAGAGTAGGGTGACCTTGTGTGGTGCGCAGCCTCCCCACCCTGACCCATCAGGAAACTCCTGGCATTGAGCTGCAAGCAGCCTGCCACCAAGTTTGTAGTTGGCTGGGAAAGACCTTTGCATAAGTTTTGGACGAAAGTGAGCAGATCAGGTCTCTTGCCGATTCTCAGGATTTCAGAAAGTGCCCAGATGTAGTTTTTGGCCAGTCGTAAAGTTTCTATTTTGGACAGTTTTTGGGTTTTAGAATAACAGGGGACCACTTTTCTTAAATTGTCCAGAGCGTCGTTGAGGCCGTGCATCCTGTTCCTCTCGCGCGCGTTAGCTTCCTGTCTCCTGAACTTGACCCTCTCCAGTCGGAGCTTGGTCGTCTTTTTTTTCCTAAGACCCCTCCTTCTGGGCAACCCATTTTCATCTTCCTCTTCCCTGTCTTCCTCCTCTTCTTCTTTCTCAGTCTCTTCTCCAGGGGCCCTTTTGATGCTCTTTCCTCGAAGGACAATCTGTTTGGAAAAGCTTTCTGGTTTCTTAATTTGCTTCTGGTCCTCGCATTCTCTAGAAAACTTTCTGCACATCTGGGATTCTGGCATTACAACAGACTCATCAAACGGTAGTGTTAACATGGTTCTCTAATCTTAAATTACCTGAAAAAATGCCAGCACAATATTTAAAGTGTTTTCATATTTCAAGTTTATACACTTAAAACATATTTAATGACTTAATCATAAGAATACAAAAACATGAGAAAAAGACTGATTCCAGGACTAATTTTTTTACATTAAATAAAAATTTTGAGTTTGTGCAGACTAGTAATTATAAAAACATTGACACATGCAATAGGATTAATTTATACAGGCAAATTATCAAAAGAAAAGAAAATATGAAGCATTTATTGTAGTACCACCAACATCTCCATTTTCTCTTTGACTTTAAACTGGTTTTTAATACACAAAAAGGACTGTGGAATTTAAGCAAATGCAAAACATGATATAGCAATGCAGAATTTCATTAATTCCAGTTCCCCTGAGTGCAAAATGAGAAGAGACACCAGTTTTTAAAATTAAAGTGCTCTCTCTCCATTAGCTGACAAATTTGTGGAGGTTTATTTTTTAGAAAGAAAATAAGCCTTAACTTTATTTGCTGTGCTGCATAACTGAATTTAGATAAGTGGCTGTTGGAATCTACACATTTAAAGAAAAGATTAATCAGAGCCAATTTAAAAACTGATTTATTTCTGATCAGTAAAGAAATATGTAAAAGAGCACTATTTTTCCAACCCTCACCTAAAAAAGGAGGGGGGAGGATTAGGCTAATTTGGAATAAACTCTATAAATAAATTTTAAAGAATCACTGGCATTTTTTTTTAAATCAAAGAAAATGTTGAGACTGCTTTTACAGTTTAAAATTTTCTAAATGTAATTGTCTGTTTACTGCTGTTTGAATCATCCTGGACAAAAAACACTCTCGTAGTGTTTTTGTTCTTTGAGCCACAGAAGTCTCCCTCTAGCTAATATCTGACAGGAACGGTGCAAGGATTCTGACTGCAATTGTGCACGTGTGTTCAGAATCCCGAATGAAAGGGGAAAATAATTTGTGTTTCAAATGCAATTTTGGCTTTCGTTTGGTGAAGCAGCAAGTATTTTCATCTAAAGTCTTCAAACAAATAGGCACATTAAAACCGAGACTTTTTAATTTAACAATCTCCAGCTTCTTCACATACACACACACACACACACACACACACACACACACACAACTCTTAGTAACGTCCACATACTTGCAGTGTTACAAAATAGCAGTGAAAGTATGTGACAATTACATCATAAGAATGAAATATGATAAGAAGTTATAGATGACAAAGAGCATATCAATACTATAAGACAGCGACACTGTATCTTTAAATACTTGCATGCAAAGCCAGCATCAATTGAAGTATATCTTTATTTATATTACCTTAGGTTTTAATTTCATTCAATAATCAGTTTTCATTTTGGATCTTCCAAATCTTTTCAGGCTGAGTGTCGCATCGTCTCCTGGAGTCTCTAGATCTGTGTATATCTGCACTATCTCATTGATCTCTAAAAAGTGACATTGATGCCAACTGCCAGAGCTGGTACCCATGCCATCTGCTAGTGACGTCACAGGGCAGAGAGAACCATGTGATCCTCTCTCTTGGGACCTTCATTCTGCACTGATCATCTGGCATCCCTGTAAGTGGGTACCAGCATTCATGCATCAACACAGAAGGTTAGACTGATAGGAAAAAAAGCTGCACCAGCCTCTCACATACAGTAGGTGCGTTTCTCCTCGAGCTGCTTCGGCTTCACTGGCAGTCTGTAGAAATTGCTGTGTTAGTGTTCAGTTTCGCCCTGCCAACGGAGCAACTATTAGGTAGTCGTTAATATTCCGTTCATTCACAAGGTGGGCTTTTGTGTGAGCGAGAGGTTTTTTGTGGTGGTGGTTGTTGATGATGTTTTGTAAAAATCACCATCCCAGTTGTGCACCTGGGTACCCAGGGAAGGAAAGCCGTGGAAAGGAGCTGAAATCAGGAAAATGGTCTTGAGATGCTTAACCAAACTAAGATTTGTGTAAGCGAACGGGGATCAACAAAGGTCTTGTTTGTTTCATGGCATGTAACTCACGGGTGTGTGTCTGTGTGTTCTCTTATTAACATGTAAGACTTCTGCGCTTCCTAAGAATTTGGAATAAAAGAACAGTTTCTCCATCTGGGGTCTGTGAAAGACATCCTCAGATGCTCCCCTTTCGACACTTGCTGGTATCTTTCAGCAACTTTTCAGAGAGATTCTTTGTGTATGTGTATAAAATGCAGACAAATTGTTAAGTCCACCGTGAAAGGTTTCAAACTACATTCTTGTGTCCTTTACCAAAAGTCACAACTTCACTCTCTTATTGTCCCTCTCTTTATAGCCTTAACTGACTTGTTCTTCTTCATTTCATTTCATACACAATAAACACGAAAATGATCACTTAGGTTTTTGTTTTTCTCTCCCTGGCATTCTGCTGAGTATTTTAACCAAAGATTAGCTTTCCTGTTTTTTCCTTTTGAGCTTTCAAATTTTTTTCTTTCTCCTAAAAACCATCCCATCACATTTTTCCCCCTCTAGACCAACATCAGTTTAAGTATCTTCTCATCCTTATATCATGTCCAGTTGTTTTTCTCTGTCAGATTTATTTCATATTTACCCCCCTACCCACTTTTCCTTTTTGGTTTCTTAACAAAAGCAGGCTAGAAAACAGTTTAGCAAAGCTGGCAAAACCTTGCAGATAAAACGAACTGTGAAGCAAGGGGCAAACCTCATCTTCTCCTTTTCTCTACTCTCCTGTCACTATCACACCCCCCCCTAAAAATAAAGGACATTTTATTTCAGGATTGCCTGTCACCAAAGTAAAAAGTGCACTTAAAAAAAAAAACTAAAAGTTTAAAAATAGACAAACACAACCTTTGTTGTTTGAAAACTGAGTAATCTCTTTCTATAAAGTGAGACAGTATGCTTTTGGTATTAAAGTAATCCCTGGCAGAGTTGTAACTGTTGAATCTGTGTTAGCATTCCCCTTATAAATCCCAGTTTTGAAAGGTTTAAAATTCTGCTGCTTTAATGCACTTTGTTTCCAAATTGGCATCGGGGGCCTCAAACTAAATGCAGTTTTCCTCTTGTCATGTCTGATTCCTGTCCCTGCTTAAAGTTACCTGACTTTGCCTGAACAGTTCTTGAAAAGATAGGGAAGTTGACAAAAAAGAGAGTCATCCTAGTTAAAGGAGGACAGTTTTTTTCTCTCAATGGTCTGGTAAAAAAAAAAATGCAAATTTAAAATAAAAATAAGGCTATAAACTCATAACTTAAAATAGGTAGGTGTGTTAGCCTAGCTCATGTTTTTTAAAAATCAGACACACCAAAGGCATTTCACAATGTGTTGTTTAAGGAGGCAGTCCTGGTAATGGGTGCACGGGGTATATTTCATATAGCTTTTGGTTCAAAAATGACACACACTTTTTATAACAGCACAGAGAATTTCTATAGGAAGACCAGTTGCGGAATTTTGTTTGTTCTCACATATGGTTTGCTTTGTCAATGTAAAGGAGCGTAAGTATCAGGGGCAATTGCACTGTATTCTAAACTTGCAAAGTCCCCAGAAGCCGCGTTGTATCACAGGCATTACAAACATAAGAATCAAAATCCAGGAAATAGATCACATGACGCATTAGTAGGAAATGATCACCAATGTAGCTCATCCCAAGGATAGATTTTATATTATATCTTTGCGACGTGCAGACAAATGAGAAACAGCTTTCGCATGAAAACATTTGGGGCTGTTCTATTCCTGCCTTTGAACGTGAAATAAAAACCTGTGCTGGTGGTGGTGATGTGGCGGTGGTGGGGAACAGAATCTGGGTTGAGGTTTTCTGAGTATTAATCTTGTTTGAGTGTCTTAGTGTTTTGTTTTGTTTTTTTCAAAAAAAGGGGGAAACAGAAAGTTGTTATGTCAAGGTTTAACAAGGATTCAGTGTGTTTGTACAATAATCTTTCAAAAGAAATTTCGTGATGCATTTTCTGCTATAGCTCCAGATATGCAAATGCCTGTGCTGTTAATATGCATTCATCACATATACCATAACGGCTGTTCTGCTCTCTGCTAAGGAAGCATGTTAACACCAATACTCCAAACAGAAATACATTCTGAGTTGTAGACAAATACTCAGAGTGTAGGGAGTGTATTATCACCATTTCTATAACATATTTTCTCATTTCATGTTAGTCACTGCAGACCAAAGTTTATGTCTATAACTCGATTCAATATTAATTGAACTGATAGGATCTTTACTTCTGGGGCCATGACATTTTACAGTAGGTTTTTTTTTTAAGTGCCCAGTGTCTGTCTGCCTGCCTCTGTCTTGCCTTCACTGGGTGGATGCTCATATTTCACTTATAAAAATGACCCGCAGAAAATTTAGATATAATTTGACTCAGTTGTACAGCAACAGAGGCTTAAAAGTCTAAATTAAGGCTCAAGTGTTGTTATTTTCAGGTCATCCAGTTGGTACCTGTGTCTTAGCAAATGGGAATTCTGTTGACTCTCTTTTTCACAATCCCCTCATTACTTAAGGGATCAGTTTGGAACCTGACAGGCATTTTCCTCAGCTCTCCAAGAGCTGAATGTAGTCAGCAGAATGTAGACCGGGGCAGAATCAGGCAGCTGAACCTCAGCACCAGAGTTTTTCTTGCAGAAATAGGGTGCTTCCTGTGATAGATTTTGGACAGAGTTTTTCTATTGCCTCTTTTTAAAGCTCTTAGACAAATGGCAGGGCATTCAGGGCAGCCTGGAAGCCTGTGAGCCTGCTGTGTTAATCCCTAGAGTTTTAACCCTATGTTCCCCACTGGCTTGAAAGACCCTTAAGGCTGAGCAGGCAAGAGTGTCCCACTTTGGCTTCGCTGAAGCCCTTCAGGTTTCACTGACACTATGTTAGTTATAAGGCAAAACACAAAGCAGCCTTATTCCCCTTGAAGCTTTAAATTATAAAAATATAATTTAAACATAGATCTCAAAATACTTTGTTTATATGTACATACATGGAATTACTCAGACTAAGCAGATCATGTGGAAATAAAGCAACATTTGGAT